CTCTGTTTCCAGTCTCAGGAAGCCATCTGATGACTTAAGTACTGGGTTCTTATCACCTGCATGGGGTACCCAGATGGAGCCCCTACACGGGGTACCCAGATGGAGCCCCTACACGGGGTGCCCAGATGGAGCCCCTACACGGGGTGCCCAGATGGAGCCCCTACATGGGGTGCCCAGGTGGAGCCCCTACACGGGGTGCCCAGACGGAGCCCCTACACGGGGTGCCCAGACGGAGCCCCTACGCGGGGTGCCCAGACCGAGCCCCTACACGGGGTGCCCAGACGGAGCCCCTACACGGGGTGCCCAGACCGAGCCCCTACACGGGGTACCCAGATGGAGCCCCTACGCGGGGTGCCCAGACGGAGCCCCTACACGGGGTACCCAGATGGAGCCCCTACGCGGGGTGCCCAGACGGAGCCCCTACACGGGGTGCCCAGACGGAGCCCCTACACGGGGTGCCCAGGTGGAGCCCCTACACGGGGTGCCCAGGTGGAGCCCCTACACGGGGTGCCCAGATGGAGCCCCTACACGGGGTGCCCAGATGGAGCCCCTACACGGGGTGCCCAGGTGGGGCCCTAGCTGTGAGCCTTGGCTGCTTTGAAGCAGCAGTTGGCAGAAGTGCACTCACTCATGTTCCTTCATTCATTATCGTTCCTGTTGTTTCTCTTTCTCTCTCTACTTTTGCCTATCCTTTCCTCTCCTCATCCTGCCTTTCAGATAAATAATACTTTTTGAAAGTCATTGTTAACAGAAGTTTATAAAGTGTTGATTCCGGCTCTGTGGGTAGTGTTGGGGAGTTTACAATTTCAGAGGGGGATAACTGCAGATGTGATGAGAAGAACAAGAGAAAGTGGGGCGTGGTGATGTGGCTGAACTGATGCGGTTTCGGGATACAGTTTTAACTGACAGGGAATTGCTTCTTATGGATCAACAAAGAAGGTCGTTTCTTGAGATGACATCTTCTCCTGGGGAAGATGCTATGAGCGTTGCTGAAATGACAGTAATGCGTTTAGAATATGACATGAATTTAGTTGATAAATCATCCACAGAGTTTCAGGGGATTGATTCCAACTTTGAAAAACGTGCTGTAAGTACGATGCTATGAGAGAGCATCGCATGCTTTAGGAGAAAATTTCCTCCAGAATCAGTCAATGATCAGCCTTTGCTGATATCTTGCTTTGAGACATTGTCATGGCCACTGACCCTGCAGCAGCCACCACTGGACCCAACAGTGACAACTTGATGAGTGCTCAGGTGATCGCTAGCATTCTTTAACATGGTACTTTTATAATTAAAGTGTATACATTATTTTCTTAGACATAATGCTAATGCATACCTAGTAGACTTATGGTGCAGTTAGAAAATAACCTTTATGCACACTGAGAAGCCAAAAAGCTCATATGACTGATTAATTGTATTATTATATTTGTTTTATTGTGGTGATCTGGAATCGAACCATCAGTACCTCCAAACTGTTTCTGTTTTTAAACTGTGATCACTGGTCAGAAAAGTATCTCTCAGAAAGTGCTACCAAATGAGCAACAGAACAAACCAGGTGAAGACAAAAAAGAAAGCATAACAAATGAAAGAGGAAAGCTGTACAGTAGGAGGAAATGATATAGTAGAAATCAACAAACCTAAAGATTGTACTTTGGAAACAAATCAACAAAGTAGACAAATTGTTGACAATGCTTATCAAGAGAATAAAACAGAAATGTGGGCTATAACTAACTGTAGATAATGAATGGTTAATCAAAAGCAACTAGAAGATGTATAGATGATTTACTGAGAAAAAAGATCATCTTTCTGTCAGTGGTTCCAAAGCAATTGAATATTCATGTTAAAAAGTGAATCTTGCTTCTTTCCTCACACACTGAGTGAATCAGACATAAACAGGAAAGCTGAATGTCTGTGAAAGTCCGCAAGCCTCTGTCAGGTGCAGGTTCTCTGCCCAGGGTACCGGAAACATGAACCATGAAAGGAAAAAAGCAGTGTTGGATTTAGTTTCAAACTTTTCGAAAGCTTCCATTAGGGAAAGAAAAAGGCAAGATGCAGACTAGGAGAACAATATTTTAAAAATTGTTTTTATTAGAAAGGCAGAGTTCCGGGGGGCGGGGAGAGTGAGATCTTTAATTTGCTGGGTCACTCCTCAAATAGTTGCAGTGGCCAGAGTTGGGCCACTCCAAAGCCAGGAGCTTCTTTCTGGTCTCCCACATGGTTGTAGGAGCTCTCGGACTTTGGCCAACCTCTGCTGCCTTCCAGGCCAGTAGCAGGGAGTCACATCGGAAGTGGAGCAGCCAGAACTTGAACCAGCACCCAAACGGTATGCCATCACTTCAAGCAGAGACTTTAGACTGCTACCTCACCATGCTGGCCCGGCAGGTGGGGGGGGCGGGAGGGGGCAGGAAGCATTTGCATTGCATGCATCTGGCAAAGGATTGTGTCTAGAATTTATACATAAATATTGCAGCAAATGAGAATTTGAACAGTACATATGTGGCAATGTATTTGGATATATGCATCCTCTCCAAAAAGAAGGACAAATAAGCAGTAAGCACATGAAATGTTGCTCAACATTATTAGTCATTAGGGAAACACAAATTGGAACAGTATCTTGCCACCACATTCTATTAAGTTAGTTAAAATAATTTAAAAACACCAAGTACTGGTAAAGATGCAGAACTCTGCCAATATTTTGGTCACTTCTAAATGAACATTCACCATATGACCCAATAATCAACTTTACTCCTAGATATTCAAGAGAAATTAAACTGTATGTTTCACAAATGTTTGTAGTGATTTTATAACAAATACTGGGCACAGCCCACATGCCCAACAGTGTGGATAAATAAACAGATTGTGGAATAGCTGTCCAGAGAAATAGCACGAATCCATGGGAAGAAGTGAATGGCTTAGGCAACCCTTGTATGCACCAGGATCCCATATGGGCACCAGTTCTAATCCTGGTAGCCCTAATTCCAGTGCAGCTCCTTGCTTGTAGCCTGGTGAGGCAGTCAAGGATGGCCCAGAGCTTTTGGACCCTGCACCCGCATGGGAGACCTACAAGAAGCTTCTGGCTCCTGGCTCCTGGCTTTGGATTAGCTCAGCTCTGGCTGTTGCAGCCACTTAGGGAGTGAATCAGCAGACAGATTTTCCTCCTTGTCTTTCCTCATCTCTACAAAATCTGACCTTCCAATAAAAAATAAATCTTTCCAAAAAAAAATGGCAAGAATACAGCTTTTTTTTAATGCTTGACATCTAGTTTAGTGTTAATAAAGTACAGTGGGCTCTCAATGCATATGTACATTCTGCAATGATTGCAGCACAGAGTGTGTGCCTTACTTTATTTCAATGATCTTGAGGTGGTATTGCTTTTTTGGGTGGTCTGTCATGTAGTAAGCATATGCTAGACATATGCTGTAGGTCCAACACTCTAGGCCAGTGGCTGGCACAACAAAAATGTATGCTGAACTACGGTGAGAATTGCTTGGGTTTTGCATTCTCAATGGTTTAGGAGCATGTTCTACCAAACTTGCAAGTAGAAAAGCTTCCTGGTTTATGCAGATTCTTCTAGGCAGTGGCCAAAGAGGGACCCTCTCCAGCTTGTCAGAGTTCAACACTATGCTGACAGATCCAGAGAAAGACATTACCAAAGTTAAGTGCTCTGTTTTGCTCATGAATGCAAATGTGAAGATTCAGAACATGTTAGCAATCAACTCAGCTGTGTCTCTCAAAGGTCATGTTTCACTTGCATGTTGGGCCCTTTAGATGTGTGTGGATAGTGGTATATTGGAAAACCAGTATGAGTATTCTACCACAGTCAGTTGAAAAAGAAGAAATAGATGCAGTAAATAGATAACTAAATACCAAAGTATAAACTGTTTTCCAGTTAGACTTTTTCCCTGTCATTTTAACTGACAATGTAATTAGAAACCTAGGACTTTTCTGCTTGGATAAGAGACCAAGAGCCACAAAGGATCTGTTACTGATTTGAAATGAGACAGTTTAACTGTGGTTGTAAGAAAGGCCCTGGGGCCACATGTTCTTTGGATCCTTCGCCCACTGGGCCTGACTGAGGAGAAGTCATTCATCTTCACTGGGCCTCAGTTTACCCTGGAAGTGGGGCTGACAGTACCTGGACACATTTGACAGGAGTCTCAATGGATTAATGTATAACTTGCATAACAGCTCTGGTCTGTGTACTATATTTTGTTTCAGTCATTTTTTTTAAAGATTTATTATTTTTTTTATTGGAAAGGCGGATATGCAGAGAGGAGGAGAGACAGAGAGGAAGATCTTCCGTCCGATGATTCACTCCCTAAGTGAGCGCAGCGGCTGATGCTATGCCTAACCGAAGCCAGGAGACTCTTCCAGGTCTCCCGCGCGGGTGCAGGGTCCCAAAGCTTTGGGCCGTCCTCGACTGCTTTCCCAGGCCACAGGCAGGGAGCTGGAAGGGAAGCGGGGCTGCCGGGATCAGAACCGGTGCCCATATGGAATCCTGGGCGTTCAAGGCGAGGACCTTAACCACTTGCGCCACTGTGCCGGGCCCTGTTTCAGTCATTTTTATCACAGCTTTTCAGATGTCTCTCAAATTATTTTCATTTTCAAAATTTGTGTTTATTTGTTTGAAAGGCAGAGAAAGTGATTGAGAAGCACATCTCCCACCTGCTAGTTCACTCTCTAGATAACTGCCAACAGCCAGGGCTGGGCTGGGTCAGTGCTGGGAGCTGTGACTGTGATCCGGGGCTCCCGTGTGGGCAGCCAGGGCTTCACCTGCTGCTTCTCAGAGCGCGCAGTAGCAGGAGGCCGGGAGTGGGAGCTGCCCTGGGCCTGCAGCCTGCAGCACGAGCTGCTGGGTGCTCAGGCGGCTTACCTGCTGTGCCCAAGGCCTGTCCTACAGACTGTTTCCTAAGTTAATGCTGAATGCTGAGGGAACTGCAGTGAAAGTGCTTTCCCTCTTACGTTACCATTGACGCTGTCTGTCTGTGTGTATCCCCAAGGTGAGTGATTTCACATGGAGCCACGATGGGACTCAGGCGCTGATATCATATCGTGATGGGTTTGTCCTGGTCGGTTCTGTCAGTGGACAAAGACACTGGTCGTCTGAGATCAACTTGGAAAGTCAGATTACTTGTGGCATATGGACTCCTGATGACCAACAGGTAAGCCTCTGAGATGGGTAAGTTTATGCTAGTGCCAGGGGAGCTAAGGAGGAAGACGGGGTGGGGGAGACAGAGCTGATGCGTGTGTCGCTTAAAAAATCACCAAGGCAAAGAAGAATAAAAATGTCCAGTAAAATATTTTGTAAAAGTTTAGATTTTAGTCATAGCTTTGAGAAATAATAATTTCCACCAATGTTGTAAACAGAGTTAGCATATTAAATAAAATGTTTATATAAATTTATTTTAAATCCATGAAAATAACTAATCAGTAATGTGGCTGCAGGAGCATGTTCCACTGTGTCTCAGGGGAGATTTGTAGATCACTAAGTGTGAAGTCCATGTGAGAATTTAGCACAAGGAGAAGACTTGGGGATCCCCTGTCTACCTGCTTGACCTGTGACGTGAAAAAGCAGTGCATACGTCTCCTGCTTGATTGGAGAATTACTCGTGACGGTGTGGAGCTGCTGAGGGTGCCTGCCTGATGTCAGCAGTGCCATGTCCTGGTGGGGGGCGTGGACATGGGGAGTAGCGCCCCTTGCAGAGGATCAGGGTGAGCTGAGGCCGTTCCTAGAAATCTCCTATCCTCGGGGTGGGGTCACCACTGCTTCTGGGAGGAAACTGCTGGATAGTCTGGGGGATGGACTGTCAGCACTTAACAGTACAAGCGTCCGGGTCTTGCTAGCATCTAGGTTTAACTCTAGCTATTTTCCTATTTGCCAGCCCCATTTATATACCCTCTGGGGGCTTGTAGACTGATTTGAATGAACATCTCATGGAAACTGTGGATCCTTTCCTGGGAAGTATACATGAATGATATATCTCTTCTCCCCTCAGATATTGGCCCAGGTAGATTGGAGGTTATCTTCCATGCACTGTTTAAAACACCCTTGTGTGTTCAGACAGACAGTCAAGGTCAATGAATTTACCCCCTATAAAAATTGAGCAGCTGACGTTTGTCAGTTTGCTGCATTCTCTTCCTACCCCGCTTATTGCTGCATACACACATCTTTGTAGTGTTACCTTTGAAAGGAAGTTGTGATGATGGCCTGTCTTAAACACTTGAAGATGTGTGTCCCAGAAGAGTAAGGCCATTAACCTGCACCAGCACACCTAAGAAATTTCCACTGATAACTCCCTAATTGTTAGAAAGATGTGATTTGTGTAAGACTTTCCTCCCCGTACTGCACCTTTTAATGTTCTGGGACCAGTGTCCAGTTACATGCAGCGGTTGGTGGTTCTGTCCCCTCAGTCTTTGATTTGGATCAGTGTGGTCTTTTCTTTTGCTCAGTCGTGGTTACCCTGTGGACTGCTGACCTGTGGAGCTGTTGATTGCTTACCCTTAGTCTCAAGGAACCCATATGATCCTTGCACCTCTTGCAAACTGGAAGCTAAATCCGGAGTGATGTTGGATTGAACATTTTGCTAAGAATATTCCACTGGCGGTAGCATTCCCTTTACATGGACTACCCTGAAAGGTATATGATATCACAACATTCCACTATATGGGCTCCTGATGGGGCCTTTGTGGAAAGAAAACTGTTTCCTCTTCTTTATCTTTTTATACAGTATGTTTCACTTCAGGCTGAAATTCATCTTCCATTGAATCTTAAAAGATTTATTTTACTTTTATAGGAAAGGCAGATTTACAGAGAAGGTAAGACAGAGAGAAAGATCCTCTATCCACTGGTTCACTCTACAAGTGACCTCAATGGCTGGAGCCAATCTGATCCTAAGCCAGGAGCCAGGAGCCTCGGGCCTCCTATAGGTCTCCTCCACAGGCATAGGGGCCCACGGCTTTGAACCATCCTTTATTGCTTTCCCATGCCACAAACAGAGAGCTGGAAGGGAAGTAAAGCAACTGGGACATGAACCTGTGCCCATATCGGATCCTGGCATGTGCAAGGCGAGGATTTAGCCAGTACACTATTGTGCCAGGCCCGTATTGTGTTAAATCTTAGGCAGAGTGTCTCTTCTTCACAGAGTTTGTGCAATGGCTGAGGGGCTTACACAGTCAATGTTTGCTCCTCGTAGTTCTGGGCGTTGGAAGTCCTGGATCAGGGTACCAGTTACTTGAGTCTGTCCTGCAGCCTGCAGACTGCTGGCGGCCCTCTCTTATGTCTTGTGTGTGTCCTCCCTGCATGGATGCCGTCCTCTTTGCGTCCTCCCTGGGCCTTCGCTGCTTGACATTCTGCTAGCCCTTCTTCATCTGGCAAGTGCTCGAGTTTATAGAGTCCCTCCTGTCAAACCTCAGTCTTCCTCACCCCTTTACAGGCTTCGTTTCTAGATAGAAACACATTGGGGACCCAAAGCCAGGAGCCAGGTCTCACTCCATCCTGTCTCACATGGGGCTCAAGCATTTGGGCCTTCTGCTGCTGTTTTCACAGGTGCATCAGCAGAGATCAGAAGTGAAGCACTGGGGTTAGAGCTGGAGCTCACATGAGATGCCAGTATTACAGGCAGTGGCCCAGCCCACTATATCACAATGCTGGCACCCCACATATGAATTTGGGGTTATTCATATTCATCCCTTAACAGGTATATTGTAAAAATATTTTGGAGACTAGAGAAACTGGTATGAACCCTGTTGATAAGCTTAGAATATTTTTGCAAATAAAATTATTTATCAAGCATGAGCAAAAAATAAATGTAAATAGAAACTGTTGAAGAAATACATGTGTGTCTGGAGAACCTGTGGGTGCTGAGCTTGTCCAGAGTTCCACAGCAGCGTGAAGCTTTGTAGTGCCATACCCAGAGAGTGCTCCCAGCCTCTCTGCCCTCCAGAACCCAGTGTTACCCAGTGACATTGAGCCCAGTGATTCATGGAGGGCTTGGACACAGAGACATTCAAAAGTCCTTCCTAAGACCTGGCTTGGGTCTTGGGGTTAGGCTGATGGTTCACTTGGAGAGTGTGAGAATCTGTTGAGAGCTGGAGATGTGTTCCATTAATAAAGTCACTGTGCTTCCAGACATGGGTAGGACGCTGTTCAAAGGCCAGTGACCAGCTGGAGTGTCTGTCCACTAAAAAATAAAGGACTTACATACTTTATTAAATTTACTTTCGTATCCATTTCATATTTTTGCTGTACTCATTTTTCAGTTATTTATTAATTGGGGCTATATTTTGATGCAATTGATAAGCTGTTATTTGCCATACCACAATCTTATATCTGAGTGCCAGTTCAAGTCCCTGTTCGTCTTTCAGTTCAGCTTCCTGCCAATGTGCTGGAGAAGGCACCACATGGTGCTCAATGATGATGAGGCTGATGATGGCCCAAGCACATGGGTCCCAACCACCCATGAGGGAGACCCAGATGGAGTTTCTGGCTTCTGGTTTTCCCCTGACCCAACCACTGGCTGTTGGTTTCCATCTGGGGAGTGAAAATGTGGAAGATTCTCTCTCTCCCACCCTTTCTCTCTCCCTTACACTCCCCTCCTTCTTCCCTCCTTCTCACTGTCTCCCCCTTCATACAAACATCCTCTGCCTTTTACGTAAAGTTTTGTTGTATTCTGTTTTTCAATTGATTGATTGAGTTTTACACAAAGTTTTGTGGTATTCTGTTTTTAATTGATTGATTTTTTACGCAGAGTTACAGTGAGCAAGGGAGAGATGAGAGAGATCCTGTGTCCACTTGTTCACTGCCTCGATGTCCACAAAGCCCAGGACTGGGCCAGTCTGAAACCAAGAGCTTCATCCAGGTCTCCTAGGTGACTGCAGGGATCCAAGCTCTTTGCCACCTTCCTCTGTTTTCCCAGGCCATTAGCAGGGAGATGAATAGCTAGGGTTGCAGCTGGAACATGAGCCAACGCCCTGTGAGTTGCCAACATCATAGGCAGCAGCTTTACCTGTTATACTGCAACATTAGGCTCCATGTGTCTTTATTTTAAAAGTCATTTGAGAGAGAGAGGAAGTGTGAGTGTTCAATGGCTAGGGCTAGGCCAGATCACAGCCAGCAACCTGAGTGACAGGGACCCTTGCACTTAGGCCATCGTCCTCTGCCTGAGGGCGCATGTCAGCTAGAAGTTGGAGCCAGCACTCAAACCCAGGCGTTTCAGTTCAGAATGTGGGCGTCTCAGCAGATGGCTTACCTATGAGGACAAACACCCACCTTCTTTGTTGCATTAAAGCTAATCCTGGGGCCTGGCATGGTAGCCCAGTAGATGGGTCCTCATCTTGTACCTGTTGGGGTTCCACATGGGTGCCAGTTCATGTCCTGGCTACTTCACTTCCCATCTAGCTCCCTACTTGTGGCCTGGGAGGGCAACAGAGGATGGGACCCAGGGCCTTGAGACCCTGCACTGTTTTGGGAGACCTGGAAGAAGGTCCTGGCTTCTGACTTCAGATCAGCTCAGCTCCAGCCATTATGGCCACTTGGGGCGTCAACCAGTGACCAGTGGACAGATCTTCCTTTCCATCTCTGCTTCTCTGGATCTGCCTTTCCAATAAAAATAAATAAATCTTTAAAAAAAAAACTAATCTTGGACATGTCACAATATCTGTGCATATTAATCTCTTCCAAATATGGCATTCCTTCTATAACTAGTGACTCCATTGTCACAGCTCCTCTAGTCTCAGTGCCAAGAAGGCTCTTGAAGTACGTGTGGCTTTACCTGGGCTCTCAGCAGCACAGCTGACAGTGTAGGAGGCAGGCAGGCATTCCTGCTGGAGGCTTGCATCAAGGAATCCTTTGATTTCTCAGCTGCAACACCTCAGACTCACAGATGAGAAGTAGTCCATTGATATTTGACCTTCAAGTAATGATAGACATATACAAGAGGCCCATTCCTTGACAGAAAAAGTTCAAACTTGGCAAAAACCAAACTAAAAAGAATCGTTAACTTATTCTTTGCAAGGAGTATTTTCTCACTGTGGAGAACGTTTCCCTCCGCTGGCCCTGAAGGCTGTGCAACCCAGAGACTCACTCAGCCTCCTAGCCTGCGGGTTGGGAATCCTGATGTACCCTCTCCTGTGTGTTTGCATTCATGGGTACCTCATGGATTTT